CCATGCCATTCGTAAAGATGACTTGCTCAAAAACTGCGTAACCTTCCAGACTTAGCTCAAGTACTGAGACTCCCATAAAGCCTTCCCATGTCTAAGAGGAAGTCAATTGGAGATAGCGGAACAATCAGGAAGCCACTGCAATGGCCCATCAGAGATAATGAAGCCCAATTTGCGTCGCAGGCCTGCGGTGGGAAGGAAGCGATCCAGAGGCCCTGCAGAGGCTGCTATGGTCAGGAGGCAAAGGGGGAGTCGGGGCGAGAAGAATGTGTGACTATCTCCACAAGTGACATAAAGCAACATATATAAACAAACAATAATATATAAACTAGCTCTTCTGTTGCTGTTTGGGCATTTTTTTTTTTTTTTTTTTTAATTCTCACCCGAGAATATTTTTCCATTTCTTGTACAGATAGAGTGGGAGGGAGAGAGAGGAAGGGAGAGAGAGAGAGAAACATCGACGTGAAGGGACACATCGAGTGGCTGCCACCCGCACGACCAACCAGGGCCGGGGACAAACTGCAACCGAAGTACGTGCCCTTAGCGGGAACCGAACCCGGGTCTCTCCGGACCGCAGGCCGACGCTCCAACCGCTGAGCCAAACCGGCCAGGGCTGTTTGGGCATCTTAATTCACCGACAAAATTCCCTCCAGGCTGTGTGATTCTGTCATTGGATTTTTTTTTTTTTAATTACTGTGCTAAGCTCCTCATAGCAGCCCTGCATTTGAATTTGACCCTGGGATTCCTACTGGCCCCTAATCAACTACGTTTCCTTGATGCTGTAGTGCCTGCCAGTCTCGTACCATTCCCCCGGTGTTCCTCGTTTGGAAGTGCTGAGACACTGGTCTAAGAGGACATGAAGAGGGTGGTGTGCTCCCAGTGAAGTGCGGTGTGCACCCCTGGGGGGCACGGATGCGCCATGCCTGAGTGCGTTTCTCCCATTACGAATGCCTCCCTAAAAGCCGTACTTTGTACGTTTTTGTTAATGTAAAAAGGGAACATTCGGGCACCTTTACTGTCCTGTCGATGTGCAGGGCTATTTTTAATTTTTGTTCTTCACTCTTTTTCTGTGCTTGTGATTTTAAAGGTGCCAGACTGACTGCCCTCGAGCCTAGTGTCCCTGATTTCTCCCAAGAATAGGAAAAATACCGGAGGCAGCAGAACTGGTCATGTCTGGGTCCAGCATATTAGCCTGACCCAGTCTGGAAGAATATTCTCCAAAATATAAAGGAGAAGATTGTTCCTTATGAATTTAGTTCATCGGCTTTCATAGCTGAGGAGACAAAACCTTGTTGTGCCAGCACCAAATCACTGCAGAGTTTTGGGCTCAGTAAGCCTTTGCAAAAACTAGTTTTTCTGTGTGTGTGTGTGTGTGTGTGTGTGTGTGTGTGTGTGTGTTTCTCTTCCATGCCCACCTGTCAACATTCCATCCTTGAAGGTTGGGCTCAAATGCCTCTTTCTTCACAAAAACTTTCCTGAGCCTTCTCAGATGTGATTTTCCTTCCACATTTCCATCGCACTTTCTCATGTGATTGTGGAATGTATGTAGTCTCATAATGAGTATAAAAGGTACCAACGTTGTCTGATCCATTTCTGTCTGTCACACAGAAGCCAAATATAGTTCGGGACAAAGAGCAGATGCTTGGGGAATGTCTTGAATCAAATGAGAATTCCAGTGCTTATCTTTTCAGCCTGACTTCAAGGGTTCTGCTCTGAGCTTTCCATCTGATCGGTGATTGAAATCTCCCCCCAGGTTCTCAAACTTTCCATCAACCTTGCAGGCACAGACTCTCAGATTCCAGATATTACACTTTGGGCACTTGTGGTCTAGATCATAATTGCTACTTCTATATGCGTTATAGACCTGATAACATTTGGTCAACCCCCCAAAGTGTGGTACACAGATTGCTGGTAGTCCCTGTGGAGTATCAGGGAATCCAGTTTGGCATCTAGAAAGGGAAATAATTAAAAATAATTTGTTGACCTGTATTTAACAAATTTAGCATTTGTTAAATTTTACATTTTAAAATTGCAGTTTTCTCAGGAATCCACCTTATTCTTAATAATCATCACATTCTTGCCCTGGCTGGTTTGGCTCAGCGGTTAGAGCATTGGCCTGCGGTCTAGAGAGACCCGGTTTGGTTCCCGCTCAGGGCATGTACCTCGGCTGCAGTTTGTCCCGGCCCTGGTCGGGTCATGCGGGAGGCAGCCACTCGATGTGTCCCTTTCACGTCGATGTTTCTCACTCTCTCTCTCTTCCTCTCGCTCTATCTGACCAACAACAACAAGAAAAAATTTAAAAATGTCCTCGAATGAGGATTAAAACAATAATAATGATAATAATAATAATCACATTCTTAAAATTTCACAGGTGCCACAAAATCCCTGTTGAATGATGTTTAATCAGTGTTCAGTAACAGTGCCATTCTGCTCAGAGTATTTTCATGTCGTTGGTATGATATTTTTCTGCTACTGTTAAACCCACATTTTTCATTATTACTATTTATTGCATTATTTCTTCAGATCAACCAAAAGAGATCAGTGATTTGAATATGACTCATTGATGGTGGAAAAAATAGTACTAAAGATAATACTGTAAATACTCCTTCAGATTAATATTACAAATGTAAATTTTAGTTAACATGCTTCCAATATATACAGGAAATGAATTTGTATGTGCTGGAATGAAAGTGATGATTTCGCACAAGCAGTTGAAAAAGAAAATTTAAGTACTAAGTATGATGATGACTAAAAATTAGACATTATGGATGGCCTGTAATCCTCAATATGTTTTCTGTAATGAAATGTTGTCAGATAGTACCATGAAGCTCTCAGAACTTTAGCATCTTTTTCTTTTTAATTTTTTTTCCTCTATTGATCCCAGAGAGAGAGGAAGGGAGAGGGATAGAAACATTGATGAGAGAGAACATTCATTGGCCGCCTCCTGCATGCCCCCCTCTGTTGATCCCGCCCACAACCTGGGCATGTGCCCCGACCGGGAAGTGAACCGGCAACCTCTTGGTGCATGGGTCAATGCCCAGCCACTGAGCCACAACAGTTGGGCTTAGCATTATTTTCAAACATAGCTCAGTGAACTTTCTAGTAAACCAATTAAGTGTTCTTTTCTGAAAATCCCCTCTCTCTCTCTATCTCTCCCTCTCTCTCTCTCTCTATCTCTCTCTCTCTCTCTCTCACACACACACACACACACACACACACACAAAATAGTGCCATATGAAATAATCTACTTTGGTTACTAAAGGCAATGAACATCCCAAATGTTAAATGTACCTTTCTAAGGTTATGCATCTTATAATAAAAACAGGTACACGTTAATTCTTGGATAGACATTTGCACATCAAGCCACAATGTTTTGATCAAATGTCAAGAATATAGTGACTTCATAATATATCAATTACTGTGGAGATGACTTCGTTTTCAAGTGTTTAACTCTTTCCAACACTTGATAGTATTATTTTTTAGGGGGAAATGATGGGCTAAACTGTAGACATTCTAATCCTGCAACAGAATATAAAGAAATCCTTCCCAGGGCCAAATGCAACTAGAAATACATTTGCCTCTCTTCTCCCAAGTTGAAATACTTAGCCCTCCTATTTTTAGGTGTGAAATGGTTGTCAATCCAATGTGACGGGGTGCTGAAAGCAGTCTTCATTCAGTGCGAAATCTCTCCATAACGTCAGGTCGGTGTTCAATCCTGAGGCACAGAACCAGGCAGAAGCAAGACTGCAGAGTGGTTATGACCATAGATGCTAAAACTAGACTGCTTGCGTTTGAATTTAGTAAACCATTTTGTGACTCAGTTTCCTCATCTGTAGAATAGGAATAATAATAGTCCCTGTCACATAGGCTATTGTGACTATGAAAGGAGTTAACCTGTAAAAAGCACCTAGAACACGCCTGACACATATGCAGCCTAGTTTGGCTGAGTCTTTCCTGGGAAAGCCTGCAGATTCTTGCGGACATTCCCAGTTACTTAGTAGAAATAAAGAGCAAGATGGGAACCTGGATGTACATCTGACCTCTGACTCAAGATTCCCACAATGGAGCCAGATTCAGATACAGACTGCAACCAGTACAATGCCTCTCACTAACATAAATCTTTCTCTTAAATTACAATTTATGGTTCTTTAAAACTTAATGTGAATCCTTTAAAGCAAATCTTGATGTCCATATGTGGTCCAGATGCCCCACGAATCAATGTGCGAATATTGGAAATTGGCAGAACACAGGGCCATGAGGGACTCAAACCCTACAGTGTGTGGAAATGTTGCAGGATTTAAGGATGTTCAAACCGAGAACAGACTTGGAGGCGACGCTGACTGAAGTGTCATAGTTTAAAGGGTATCGAGTGTAAGAGATGAGAGTTGTTTCCTGAATCCCCAGGAGACAGAACCAGGACGATTGCGTAGCAGTTGGAGCGGGAAAGCATCCGGCTCAGCGTGAGAAGGAAAGTTCTAACAGTAAGAGCTGTCTGGAAATCAAAGCAATTGCCTTGGAGCTGCCTGTCACGGATACAGAGGTTTCACTACAAGGAATCGAAGCATGAGTTTGGACCCTGTTCCCGCACAGTCTAACTGGACACGTAGACTCTCCAAGGAGAAAGGCTTTCCTAGACAAGCCATCAGCTCCTACCATCCTGATCCATCTACCTTAGACCTCCATGTGCGAGTGGTCAGGGCACCGGCCTCGATGTCGGGAGACTTGAGTTCTACTCTTTCATTTTCTGTGGAATCTCGTCCTGTGACAGTCAACTGCTCAACCGACTCATGTAACCCCCCCCCCCCCCACCCTGTGCTGACCTCACAGGGGATACTGATGAGTATTCTGGTGATCTTGCTCGTGGTAGTCATGGCGATAGTGGTGGTCCTATTGCGGTTGCTGCAGGCATTACAAATCTGCTGCCTTCCCCGTGTTGGCTTCTACTGCAGGACTCACAGTGTTCCCCGGTGCGTTCCTGAAAGGCAATTCTTTTTTTCTTTCAGGCCGCTGTGCTCGCTGTGGGGAAAATGTCGTCGGGGAAGGGACAGGCTGCACTGCCATGGATCAGGTCTTCCATGTGGATTGCTTCACCTGCATCATCTGTAACAACAAGCTCCGGGGGCAGCCCTTCTATGCTGTGGAGAAGAAAGCCTACTGTGAGCCCTGCTACATTGTAAGTTCAGCTTTGGTCCTCAGGTGCTTTGCAAGGATATCTTCTTTGGCAAAGTGCCAATCACTCCAGATAGAATGTAGCCATCAGATCTGTTCTTGGCTCCAGACTTTACTATGTGTGTGTGAATTGGGGTAACTTAATTTTTTCTATGTGTTCATGTGAAGTCAAAAAGGTGTGTTGGGATGGGAATGCCGTTCAGTTACTGATCTGCTGGGAAGACCAACACACTGTATCAAGCATGTGTGTACTCACTACCATGTTACCCTTTGTAGCATCAGAGAGGTTCCCAAGTGGCAGCATCACCAGTCTTCTTATTAGGTCCCAGCCTGCATTTGAAGTCATCAGTATTTGTTGAGAAATGTTACAGGGCCTCTGGACTTGTCAATGCACTTTCAAATGCCTGGGCCCTTTGAATCACCTCTTTTCTACCCAGAAGAGTTCTTACCTATCATACCCAGAATGTTTTCAATGATGCAAATAGAGAAACTCTTTATTATTGAGCACCTTGAAAGGAAATGAATAGTAATGCTGACTGAGCTAACAGTTGTGTGGTTTTTCATAAAGAACATGACAGCTATACTTTAGTAACACTGGTAGGTGACTAAAAAACACTCATAGTCATATTATCTTAGCTTTTTGCCAGGCTATTTAAATCTATACATTAAGCTGTTGTATGATAGAGCAATTTAATGGATGAACAGAAATCTTTTTTTAACCTAAATTCCTTTGTTATGCTTCTGCATGATTTTTTAAAATGTTTTTCATCAACTTTTTTTAGAGAAAGATAGAAACATCAATGTGAGAGAGAAACATCGATTGCCTGCCTCCTGCACGCCCCCTACTGGGGATCAAGCCCCAAACCCAAGCATGTGCCACGGGAAAAGAATCGAATCAGGACCTCTCAGTCCATGGGACGACACTCAATCCACTGAGCCACACCGACTGGGAGCTTCTGCAAGATTTTAATGTGCCTGTTTAACACTTACTAGTGGAAAAATTCGTGCTTTTTGCAAACCCGCAAAAGAGCTATGGTTTGGCCCTCAGTGCCCAGGCATGTTAACATAAAAGAAGCAAGACATTGGGAGTTATACATAGCTTTGTAGATCCCTGTTTCTAGTTTATTGCAGAAGTTTTCTGGCCTTGTTGGCATTTCCCCATAACCTGACCACTCTAACTCCTGTCAGCCCTGGAGTCTGTAGCACAGATCTGAAGATTTTTCAAGATTAGGATCTTGCAGGATTTAATACTGCGTTGTACTACTTCGGTTCAATTTTATTTCCTTCTTCTCCCCAAAGGCAACTTAAGCACATATATAGCATCATTACAGTGCCACACAATATTGGAGCTGGAAAAAAACCTTTGAAGACCGTTTGTCTAACCCCTCTCTTGAGAAGTGAGAACACAGAGACACAGAGGAGGAAAGCGACTTCGTACCTTCTAGGATCAGTGTCTGAGTCAGGGCTGTCTCCAGTTGTTTTATGCAGACATCACCTGGTTCTAGTTTGTTCAGAACATAAACACAAACACAGTCAGGTCCTGTTGATCTGGAAGGAGCTGTTGCATATCAGGGAAGTCTAGTGAACCAAAAACTCACCTCCGAAGTAAATAAGAATATTCCAAATATCACCCTTTGAAGTCTTTGTTGAAAAGAGAAAACTACAAAGTCCCTGCCTTTGTCAACAGACAGTGCGGACTGTCGTTCGCAGTGGCATTCACATAGGATCACCACTATGAAATACGTGTCGCAGTGAGCCCTGTGACAGGGAGGTCAGCAGACTATAGAAGCAGCTAGGCATGGGTGTTTGTCCTTATACTAAGTGACCGCAAACTGCTGTGATTTTGTAGTCCTGGTGTCTGTTTTTCATCCCTTTCGGGACTGCCTTGTTGATTCTTGCTAATGTAACAAGGCCTCCTTTCACTTTTCTTCTATCCCTTGTGAGCTAGGAATTATATGAACAATGTGAGGAATGAAACGTGATGTCAAGAACATGCGTCTGAATTGGGTTCTATCACTCAATGCTTTGTCTCCTTGGGAGAGGTACTTGATCTTTCTAAGCCTCAGTTTCCTCATCGACGTAAGTGGGGCACTTGCAGGATTTTCCGCACAAGTTTGTGAATATGAAATGAGGCAACCCTGGTCAAACACACTCGGTGTGCTCAAAGAATGGTGGTGAAATGAATGCTATTCGGAGGTCAGTGTTGACAGGATTTCTGGCCTATTTAGCATTTCTGAATACGAGGACCTTACATGTGCAGTGGGATTTCACTGGGCTTTAGGAAACTGTTTTAACCTGTCAGACATAACATTCCCATTTTAAATGCACTGCTTGCTCTCTGGAGTGTGTAATAAGACCGAAGAAAATCCAGTCTGGCTAGATTGAGGGTTTCTGCAGTGTGCGGGCTCGGGTTTCGATCCCCCTTCGAGGCAGAGGAGCTTGGTGATTCCTCCTGCTAGAACTGTTTGCTCTGGGTGCCTGATACTACACTGTGCTTATGACAAGGAACATTGTCTGGAAGATACTCAGTGACACCCTTGGAAGACCTGGGTTAATTCAAATAATGGAAATTCTTACCATTCTTTTGACTTCTCTCCCTCATAAGAAACTTTAATCATGATTTTGCTTTAATGAGATCTATCCATGGTACCTCTAAAATGTCATTTAATTCTTATCAGAGTTCAGTGAAGCTTTACTCAAGACCCTTGTTCAATATTGATTTCAGAGTTCAGCCCAGCTCTCAAGCCCCCAGATGGATGTGTTAGCATTTTAATTTCTTCGGAACGTTTGTAAGTCCAATAAGCTGCCCTATGAGAAATGTGGAGAGGTTTCTGTGTGCAGGGTTTGGGGAAGCTGTGTGTGTCCTTCTTAGAACCAAAGCCCTTAGAACAAGCACCTGCAGTGTCATCCGAATTGCCTCTCCTTCCACTGGTGGAAACTGATGTCTGAAAGACATCCTGCACGAAGCAAGAAGACCAGGCCCTGGGCCTCAGTCTGTGTTTCTGTTTTTAAATCGATAGAAACAGAATATTGGAGAGAGTGGTTTATTTACTTATCTCTCTGTAGAAACCACCCATGTTTGATGCTCTGGGTCCAGGAAAGAGACCAGTCTAATGTAAACTTAATTTATTCTTGCCTAAATTTATCTACTTTAAATCATATATAAGTTAAACATTTATATAATTTGAGGAAAACTGTGTCAATAATGTCTTCATCTTTGTTTCAATGGTTATTCATATTTTGTTATATTCTCTTAACTCCGTAATCCTTGCACATACATAGCTATAATTAAACAAATTTTATTCTGTACAGCATTGAAATTTTCTTTAATCATGAATACATGCTTTATTTTGTATTTCCTATCAATTGACTTCATATAAGTATGTATATAGCTTTCCATGGTTAATAATTATTTTCAGCTTTTTATCTGTTTAGTTTTACATTACATCCACACACTAAATTGTAAAACCGCCCTGGCCAGTTTGGCTCAGCGTTGAGAGAAAATTACAAATTCCCTGCCTTTGTCAACAGACAGTGCGGACTGTTGTTCGCAGTGGCATTCACATAGGATCACCACTATGAAATACGTGTCGCAGTGAGCCCTGTGACAGTGAGGTCAGCAGACTATAGAAGCAGCTAGGCATGGGTGTCAAACTCTGGGACCTCAAAGTGTTTGTCTCCTGTGGAGTTGGCCTCCTGTTTCCTGAAGCTTTTTAATCACTTGGACTCTCTGGCCTGCGGATCAGGTTTGGTTCCCGCTAGGGGCACGTACCACAAAATAAATAAATAAATAAACAAATAAATAAATAAATAAATTTTGAAACCATTTGCTACTGTAAAGGCATTGGCTATTTTCTAATTGTTTAGTATTGTACATAACATGCCTAGAAATTACTAAAATGTGTATATTATTTTATTTTGAATTACTTCTTTAGCATAATTTTTAAAATTTATGTTACTAGGATTATGGCAATTTGGAGAACATGTGCTAGATTTCTTTAGAAAGATTTTTCAGTTTATAGAACCATCACAGTAATGAGACCGTATGTTAAACTATAACCTATACACTATTGAAAAGGTTTATTTATATTTATTTAGAAACAATTTAATAAGTATATTATGTAATAGTTATTTTCATTTGAATTTGTATAATTATTAGTCAAACCAATGAGATGCCTTTCTACTTTGGTGATACATGTCTTAAAAGCTTAGCTTTGCCTTGGACGGTTTGGCTCAGCAGTTAGAGTGTCGGCCTGTGGTCCACAGAGATCCGGGTTCGGTTCCCTCTAAGGGTACGCACCTCAGTTACAGTTTGTCCCCGGCCCTGGTTGGGTTGTGTCGGTGGCAGCTACTCGGTGTGTCTCTTTCACGTCGATGTTTCTCTCTCTCTCTCTCTCCCTCCCACTCTATCTGAACAAAAAATGGAAAAATGTCCTCGGGTGAAGATTTAAAAAAAAAAAAGCTTAGCTTTGATTTTTATGGATTTGTATAAATGAACAACTTAAAATTAAGAACACTAAGCTTCCTTGGGAAGTAAATTGATAAAAATAGACTATATTGGTTCTAGTCCTTGCTCTCCTGGTGTGACTGGGTAAGTCGTTTAATTTCTGAGTATCAGTATCCACATATATTAAGGGAAATGCTAACTTTTTTCTTGTCTTCAAAGACAAGGAATGAACAAGTATGATATTTTGTGCATCATGAACTTGTTTACTAATATAAGGGTTTAGTTGGATCGACAGAATTAATGTCATTGCTTTTCCCCTCAGCATAATCTGACACAATTCAGAAATCCTGTAAGTTTGGGGTAATTTCATAGCTGCCGTTTCTATGGAAATACAGACATAAATAGACGCCGTATAAGAAATATGAGGACCTATACGAGAAGATGTTCCTGCTTTGCTTAAGAGATTTTTATGCTGGTATCAATATGAGAAGCAGCAACAGCACCTCCTCCTGCTGGGTCCTTCTGCCCTTAAGGAGACAGGTTGACTCATAAGTGCA